TTCCTGCTGCAAACTTCATTCTATGTTGCTGATCAGCAGCTTGTGGCGGTAACATGTATCAAAGCTTAGCAGCGTGCCCACAGAGGACTGCAAGCTCACAAACATGGATGTAAATACAGCAGAAATGAAAAATCCTGAAATTAGTTTGCGTTATATGGAAGGAACTGTATTCAATATGACAGACAAGAATAAGTCCACATGTTAGCAAACACAGAACAGTTAATCTCCCAACTATCTTCATTTGTTTACTCATCTTGGATGGATTTTTGCATTGCTCTCTCAAGGGGTTGTAGCTAACAATTTCAAGGCAATACATAGTTTTGTGGGTTTGTTTAGGAATAATATTGGTTAAGTTAACTAATATTATGTGTTTGCAACATGTGGACTTATTCATGTCTGAAACCTTTGCATTGTGTTAGACCATGGGCAGGGAGGGACAGTAGAGACACCCTGCACCGTGTGGCATCATTGATCTACTGTCTGGAGGCTACATAATGAGTCCCCTTGTGTATTTTCCTCTTCTCAAAGCTGGCTGTGGGGACAGATGATGCTTATTTACATACTTGTTCATTTGTGAACATGAAGCAGGTGAAAGAACAATATGGTAATGTGTTTACTTAACCTTTAAACAGCTAAGAGGAGCCTAGAGTTGGTGCAAAACATCACATCTAACTCACCTCAGGTTACAAGTGAAAAAGCATGATGGGAAAAAAGATACTACATCAGAACATCTGCAGGTTGCATGCTCATCTGTAAGTGAAAAACTGTGCCGTTTTACCTTTCTCTTTAATCATAATGTGAGTCCATTAGATACTGCAAGACACGGGTCAAACTTAACGTCATATTCTGCCTGTCCAATCCCCTAAATCCTCTAGCGTGCTCTGTGCTATTGTACATGGCAGTCGAGAGTGAAAAAACTCCAGCTAATGCTGGAGTACTGACACAAACAGTATCCGTGTTTGAGGCAGGCATGGGTGATCTTTTATCAAAACTTTGTCTGTCTTTTTGTGTTCACCCAGTCTAGGGTGTACCCCACCTCTCACCCACTGTCAGCTGGGATCAGCCACCCCACAACCTTCTACTGGATTAGCAGGTATAGTTAATAGAAGTATGGGTCTCTTTGGAATGTTTTAGGGTGTACTCACACTAGGCAACCTGTACCATGCCCAAGTACATTTGACCCCAAAATCCAGTTCATTTAACTGGTGTGACTACTCCATGCCGTGTCTGGGCATTGAAGCATTCCCTGGTCCACTTGGAAGAGGTGGGCATGGGCATGGTTCAGTTGGCCTTGGGTATGCAACACACAGTGTGTTCACTAACCATGCCCAGAACATCAACTCTACATGCTATACTAGAACACTGCTCTTCAGCTGCATTGTGCTGATGCAGAGTGTGCTCCAGCCCAGATCGCTTCAAGTACAGTGTGAGTGCAGGCTAGCGAGGAGTCGGGGGAGGGGGGGACAATCGTGCTTGGTTAAGGTACGAAGCAACTGTGCCTAGTGTGAGCACACCCTTAGTGTCCTTGACAGTCTATACAAACTGTTTTGGATGATGCAGCAAGCAAGTTAAAAGCTACATATAGTACCTACATATTTTCAGACAATTTAAATTTGACACTGAATATCAAATACAGGTTTACTTCATTTCTCCCTACATTACACTCTTGCATTTTCCTCTTACCTCATATTCCACATACTCTTCCTCCTCAACCTCATAGGAGACAGTTTGGATCTTGGTGTGTTCGCCGTCCTCCAGCAGCTTCGCCTGAGGGTCCTCTGTGCCGGGCGTGTCCCCCCCTGCTGTGTTGGATGCCTCTTTCGCCTTCTTCTCTGTGAAGGTGGTCTCACAGCACTCACTTTTATATTCCTTAGCTTTGATGCTGCCGCTGTCCTCCTTATACAAGATGAAGTTGGGCCTATAGAAGGCCTCTACTGCCAGATGCAGAGAGGTGGCATCCAAAAACTGCTGAGACTTCATCTTCCCGTTGGTACTGTAACCTCCTCCGCTCACTACGTTGCCGCTGTTCATCTTTCCGCTTCCTCCTCCGCCCTCACCGCCGCCTCCCCCGCCTCCTCCAGCAAAGTAATTAATAATGTTTTCCTGGTACTGGTTATTAGGGATGTCACCCCCATAACCATTGACCATGTGCTTACTGTTTTTGTCCAGCAAGGGGTTCTGGAGTTCACTGAGATTCTCCATAACAGCAGGAGTCAAAGGTGAGTGGGAGGAGAGTCTCAGTGATCTTAACTCTAGCAAGGAGATGGAAGAGTGACGGATGAAATAGGCTCGTCAAAGACGTGCACTGATGTCAGCGAAGGTGATAATGGCATTCAGCATTCAGTGCTACGAGATCTACAGAGGAAACAAACAGCAACAGAGAAAAGGAAAGTTTAAAGGAGGACGACAACCTTACTTGAAATTTACCTGCAGATAACAGTTTACCAAAGCCTTTAGATCACATCAGATCAAAGTTTAGCTGTCGTTCCGTCAGCAACAACAACTTTTACAGCATCCTGCTTGTCAGGAGCTGCACCCTGCAAATGATTCAATTAAGTTTAATTTGCTCCCTCAGTCTAGATGCATAAACTAACACACACATACACATCTCAGAGTAGTAACAGCAATACATCAAAGCATTGCCATCTACTTAAAATTCCTTAGCTTTTTATCCTTTGCCATCTTTGTGTGTGTGTGTGTGTGTGTGTGTTTTCTATGCACCTAATTTGATTGTTATCATTCCATTTTTCGGGTCTTATTATTGCAGCTGTCATCAAGGTGTCACACGCCTCAGTGTCTGATATGAATCAGATGAGGCCTCCTACACCTTCTGTAAAGCTGAGAGGGCTGTAATCTTTCACATCTGTGTAAATCTATGGCTGACATTTATGCTAAAATTGATTTGACACTGGCTAAAATTTTTCTTTACTCTTCTTTGTGAATATATAATAAAAGTTAAAAGCACAAAAATCACAGTAGACAAAACTTTAAAAAATATTCTATGCTATTTGTACCTGCACAGTATAATTACTGTAATGATGATGACCAACCCTACCTCATTTATATGTATAAGCAAGTAATAGTCATAATGATTTGACTATTATAAGCAATCACATCACATTCAGGCTCATTGTCACAATTCCGGATGTTCAGATCGGGACTGGCTAGATACATTTTGCTCATCTAAAATAAAGTTTTCAGAAAAGACAGTTTGCCAAAAAAAAAAAAATGTCGAGATAGTGTTCTGACATTTCACCATAAATGTAAACCTGAAATGCACAGCCATTAATATAGATGGTTACAGCCTTTAGAACTTGCATAAGTAAGATCAATATCTTGATCAATAACATATTATACTGTTGCCAGCCATACAGTGGAATACTAATATTTGCTTTAGGTGTTCCTCCCACACAGGAGGGAACAAATCACCTACTTTACATTCAACCATCAAAATGATCAAAACCAAATTATAAATATAAATGAAGAATTATAAGGGGTCCTGACCCCAATCATATATGGCTGGCTTACTGCAGTATTCAGAAACACTCACAGAGAATTTCCAATTGAAAACAACACGATTACACATAATTGCATCCTGCCAGTGGGATATGGATAATAGCTTGTTGGTTCACAGGTTAATAAGTAGCACACTAATTATCTCATAGGCGTTTAATGTATTTTCTTTACCCTTAATTGTGGTCAGAAATCTGCTGATTCATATTCATCAAACACAATCTCACCATCATCTTTTACATCCTGCCCCATCCAGTACACTCATTTACTGTAAATGCTCAGTAATCTGTACAGTACACAGCATTGCTGGTGTGCAGAGAAGGAATGGTCACATTTAGATTGTGTCTCCTCTGTATTTCTGCCATGATCATAACTTATTCAGCCTCAAACTGAACAGTACACTAAGAACAGCCTTCCACAGAATGAAGAGGTCCCAGCACATCAGCGTCCTGAGGGGCACACACACTGACTGACCATCAAGTGGTCCAGTAGCAGTCAGTCCTCCTCTTTATTCATTCACCCATGGTCTGGCCTTTCACTTTTCACCTTTTGTTTTCATCTTTAATTCACAGCAAAATCCTCACTTGTCTCTCTCACATTTTCTTGCACATAACTGTTTAATCTCTTGACTTTTTCTTATTTCTCCCAGCTGTTTGCTATACTTTTCATGTATTCTGCCCCATAAATAAAATAGAAGCCCTGTGCTGCCAGGCTTCCTGAAGCTCACTAAGCACTGGGCAGCAAGCAAAGTTATCATGGCTCCTCCCTGTTGGACCGTTTGCACCTGAATGTGCTGACATGTTGTTCCACACCAGCGCACCCTTTGGCCCACATATAGCTCCAGAGAATACATGTAATTCTTGAGTTAATTAAATGAAAATGTACCTTGCTTTCAAACTAATTCTTGTGAAAACTAAAGATGAACAGGTGCTGAGGTTGTTTTCTATTTTGGATGCTGCTGTCCCATGTTTTACACTGCTATTTTTCTCAGGCAGGATGTTTTCTGACCCAGGCTCAAGCCCCAAGGTGTTGTCTACCTTGCTGAGGTGTCCTTCAGCTAAATACTGCACCTAAATACTAATCGTTTGTTGCCCAAGCTTTGCTGTGACCTCCCCAGTGGGGGTGATGAATAATCCAAATTGATTTTCTGGACATGAACTTTACTGCTTTCACTGCTTTTGTAATGTGTGGTGTTTATGAAAACTTTTACCAAACACACCCTTGTGTTTTTGAGTTTTTATCCTGTTTTTGTCTGTAACTTCTGATGCTGCCATCTTGCCAGGGTGCCCTTGTAAAAGAGATCTTTAGACACCTGGCTATAAAAAACATTGGTAAATCACTACTGCATTAATAATAATACTAATTAATGCTACTGTAATTATCATAATCACATTACTATTTACTTCTGACTTCGACACTACAGTTTAGATTTGGTATTAGAATTCGGCAGCTTGAAAATATATTTCCATGCAATCAAATTTTTTTTCTTTCAAAAATAGCCAAAGATTTTGAAACTACAGCCTTTGACAGAAATGCCCATTTTATGTTTTGTCTTCATTAAGGTTGTCCAACCAGATCAATAGTAATAAACTCACTCTCCCGATAAGATCTGAAGAAGATGCAATGGCTGTCATGCATGTAGCCATAAAGGAGTATTCTTCTGAGTACTTGCACCACTACAGCACTGATCCTCTGCAAAAGCTGCTAGAAGATGACAATGGATTACTGTACTTTTCGTGACATTACTTAGGGACACACAGAAAATTCTGTTGTCAAGCTTCCAAATTTGTTCGTGCAGAAAGGGCCTTTTCTGGCAAATGGAAATTTAAGTGTGAATAATCTATTTCAGTGGAAGCTGAGCAAAGACGCAGACATCAAAATCATTGGAAATGACTGTCAATGACCATGGTTCTTTGTGCATTTTGCACTGTGTGCTTAGCAGAGAAAGAGAGAGTGACAAAGACAGAAGAGGGCAAGGAAAGAGATAGATCATACTTATATGCAGTTCTCCGGTTGGGAGCATTTGGCCATGTTACCCGACAGCAGTGTCTGGGAGGTGTAAAGAATTGGGAGGTACAGCTGAAAGCGAATGAAACAAAAGCACACGCCTGTGTGCTGCAGTGTGAGAGAGCCCTGAGGTGCCCGACAAAGGGCTAATAGATTAATACAACCTGTAAGCATTCAGGTGCGGGAGAGTAAGAATAAGACCGTGACACTGCTAACATGCCAGCCACGCTGATACGTCTGTGCACTTCAACCCTATTAGACTCCAGTCAGCACACTCTATTTCCCTGTGTCAGCCCACTGCCAATCAACCTCAGACCTCTGACCCTGAAGCTGAGAGTCGGTATTATCAGCCAGTCCTCGAGGCCAGTGTAGTGAGATGCAGCTGAATACCAATGTGCCCTATCTGTCGGCTATGTTTTCCAGTTTTTTCATTCAGGTTGTGTGTCTCACAGCTTTTGGATACTGCTCACTGTGTTCCAAAACAAATTAATCTTCCTGTAATTTCATTTTGAAACCAGTGGCTGGCATATAATATGCATAATAAGGTAACAGCTGGTAGTTATTGATGATCACAGATCAGGATAATGCATGAGAGCTCATGGCACTAAATGCAAATACACTGCATCCCCAAACGACAGCGAACCTTACCCTCTGGCCTCAGCACATGAAAGTCCACTGACAGATTAAGCAGCAGCAGAGGATGGAGTGAGTAAAGGGCTTTACACTGTGTTGACAGATCCTTTTATGAACGATTATCATCAAAGGAGGCTGTGTAAAAATGCCACGACCCACTTGAAATTAATCTGAGTCCTAATTCTGTTCCAGCAGCCACTACGGATAGTCTGTCCCTTCTGTACATGTCTATCTGAGGAGTGGATAAAACCCTAAGGAGTGCTCCACTCAGGAGTCAGAACCTGGGCCCCACTAGACTCTTATCACTTGTGCTTTGCACACATCCATCAGATGATTTAAAGTGTTCCTTGATGTGTAAATCTGCCTCTGTAAATCTCAGCCACATGTGTCTGAATAATTCAACGGGAGGTTGCTGTCAGTAGCCGCCATGTACTGTACACTGTTCCCAGAAGTGGATTGTTGCTGGCTCTGGCTAAGCTGTCTTCATTGCCTATTAAGTCTCCAGTACCTGATGGCAAGACACCCACCGCTTGTTTCACTGAGGTTTCTCAGTTCTATTTATTAGGACTGCAGTTCAAGCAGCGATCCGCTGATATCGCTTGTGCCAAATCCCAGTCATTGCAGGCGCCTGGTCAATGTGTTTGTGTGGTAGAGAGAAGACAGAGGCAGACAGAGCAGAAGCCTCTTGTTTTATGCCTCTTTTCTTCCTGAGCTTTTGCAGCTGTCTTTGATATAACAATGATCCTTATCTTAATCAATCACTTATTTATTGCATAAAAATGAAGATGATAAAATATCCCCAAGTCAGACTGAACTACTCCTGCACTGCTCTTTGTTATTTTTTCTTGGCTTTCTTTGTTTGCAGGACAAATATTCTTGAACGCACTCTTTGGCCAAGTGCTATGATTAAACTCTATACGTCAAAAGAACAGTAGAAACCCCACAGACGACTTCAAGCCAAAAGCATATCTCGGTTATAACACACGCAGAAAAGGGGATAGGATTATGCTCCAGCAGTGGCAGGTGGAAACTGTGTGCAGACTTCTTAACATCCTCCACCTCCTCCATTACAACAGCCACAATGCAATGCAATGCGACACGTTCACCACTTCTTTCTATTTGTCACTGAGATATGAGCATGTGCGCTGATGTGGAAAAAAAGATATTTTACGCAAAAAGAATGAACTCCCCCCAGCATGTTACCATTAAGATCCTGTTTTACAGTTTTAAAACAGAGCAAAGCGCGCTCTTATAAAAACAAACTGTGAAAAAAAATCAATCAATCAATCAATATTTTCCTACCTTTGAGTTCTTGACAATCCAAATATTGTTCGGAGGTCGCAAACACTCGCTTGTTCCCGGCTGTGCATTATGGCTGGGATGCCGACGGTGTCGCCCAGAGAAAGAGACATTTCTCTGACTTTCTCATTTGAAAGAAATCATTTCGGGCGAATTGGTCTCCGCTCGGCAAAACGCCACCGTCACAGTCTCGTAGTCTCCCCAGTCTATAAATAAGCAGGCATACCTCCCTAATAGACCGTTTACATTGAGAGGCGACTGAAATGAATTCGCCTTGAGAAAGTTAAACCCCGTTGTGAGTGTGAGAGAGGCGGAGAGATGGGTCCTGATGTGGGGTTCTTCACATACACTGATGCTGAGGAGGCGAGGAGTCCACCCTCCCTGGACGCATCTTTCACCGACTAAGTACTTCCACCGCGTGAACGAGGTTAACCTTCACTTAGAGCGTTTTTTTAACCTCCAGCAAATCACGCAGGCAGCAGCATCACAGCTTGGAGAGCTGGACAATTACTCATAACGTAGACACTCCCTGATCTAAATCAATTACTGCAACGCACAGTATAACAGTTCGGAAGTATAAACTATAAAAATGTTAGACAACTCCTAGTAAAATATCAGCATACTTATAAAATAAGAGTATTATAATTGGGTTAGGCGTCATCTCATATAAATGTTAAAGTGATTCAGAGCAAAGAGCAGTGCCTTTCTTTAATAGCCACTACAATAACTCTGAGTGGACCAGTGATGATTTGACTAGTTCAAGTAAAGCCAGAAATGTCCCTAACAGCATCATACAGGTCAGTGTAGAAGTAACACAGATGTAGCAGGATCACACATTTGTCAGAACGATTACTCACTCAAGGACAGTCTGCTGTGTTAGTAAGTATAACACGCTTCAGTATAGCCCTATAGCTGCCACACCAGAAATATACAGCCAATAGTGTATCATAATATTTTCTTCATGATGTAGCCAGGTGGTAAACTTATATTAAGGAAAGATAAATAAATAACTGAATAGTTGTCCACTTATGGTGAAAGGTCCCATAAAGGTTCTTAAAGTTAACATTTTCATACAATGTTCATGGTTGTCCTGTTATTGTAACACAGTTTTAAAGTAACTTACAGTGGGCTGCTGGACCTTGAACCTTGGCCACTAGAGGGCAGTGCTGAGAAACATGTGTACGTTCCGCCAAAACTTCGCCAAGTGCATTGTGGTCTTTTTTTCTTTACCTTTGGGCTTAGTTTAAGAAGAGTGGAGCGCAGTGATTTTTTTTTAACTTCTATATATGGCCAAATTGTGTTGGACTCTGCCTGTATTCAAATCAAACCAAATCAAATTTTATTTGTATAGCGCCAAATCACAACAAAAGTCATCTCAGGACACTTTACAAAGTAAGGTCTAGACCTTACTGTTATCACTATTATTACAGAGGGAAAACCCAACAAATATTAATACTTTAAGGAAGTCATCTATCAGTGTCTTTGACAAGATGGTATATTAAAGAAACCAATGGTTCTGGCGGCGTGGAGGTTGTAGTCGCATGGCGCAGACCCTCATGTCCTCAGACATTAGCAGGGCAACAGCGTGCTGGTTGTGCTCCTCACTGTGTCCAACATGGAGCTGGTGAGCTTTTGTCGGAATGTAGGTTTTTTTGACTGTCTGGCTGTTTGGTGTTTACAGATTGTTTTATTTTTATTTTGTTATCCCTTATTTTGTGTAAATCAGTTATTACAGAGGGAAAACCCAACAAATATTAATACTTTAAGGAAGTCATCTATCAGTGTCTTTGACAAGATGGTATATTAAAGAAACCAATGGTTCTGGCGGCGTGGAGGTTGTAGTCGCATGGCGCAGACCCTCATGTCCTCAGACATTAGCAGGGCAACAGCGTGCTGGTTGTGCTCCTCACTGTGTCCAACATGGAGCTGGTGAGCTTTTGTCGGAATGTAGGTTTTTTTGACTGTCTGGCTGTTTGGTGTTTACAGATTGTTTTATTTTTATTTTGTTATCCCTTATTTTGTGTAAATCAGCTGTGACCTGCTGGACATCAAAGCTGCAAAGACCCCAGTGATTGTGTCCTGTGTCCACCAATTTACCCGTGCTACAATAGTAATGTTGAATATACTGTATATCACGCTTGTGGGTTATTCTTTCAATGCTTTTTAAATTTAAATGATTTTTTTTAACTTAAAATATTTTAAATCCAGTTAGGCGGTACTTTAATTTACACAAACCATATTAATTCTATCCACAGTTACTGACTGGCCCCTTTGACCCTTCCATGTAGGACACTTCAGCGAGCTAAAAATGTCCACGCATGCTAATGAACTAATCTGACTCTTACTAACTGTAGCGAATAACATCAGAATCGGGACAGTTGTACTCTCTTTGTCACACTGTGTATAACTAATATTTAATAATTATCTACTAGAAAAATCACTGAACTAATCAGCACCAACCAAGACTTGGGAACCATTTGTTTCTTTTTTACAACCTCCCTGTAGGTGGAGCGAGTAGCTGATTATTCACTATACTGTAAATCTCTTCCTGCCCCACCTAACAAATATTAATATAATTATTATTTTGACCATTCACCATACCCTACATCCTACATGAGATGCTTCTAACTGTGTTTTGGAGTTCAAAAAATACAACACATTATTGTACCAGAATGTCATTTTCATCAGTGCAATTTTACTAGCATAAAAAAAGCTCAGATATCAGTGCAGTGAAAATGAAGAGGAAAACATACAGTGTTTATAGGCTATAACTCTTTAATAGGCACAGTTTATGTTCCTACTGCTAAATGAAGGTCAGTCTTTAAAGTTTAATATAGCCTCCACAGGGTTAATTTGTAGTTCAAATTGCTCATATAAGTGAATTAACTTGAAAGGAAACCTAGCACCAAGCCTCAAATCCCATATCATTATCTGGGATCTAAATCTCCTTTAACAGCACATAAGCGGAGTCCTGACCACAGTCTTGTCGTTTTGATCTTTAAAGTAAAAGCTCCAAAGAGGGAACCGAAGTATCGACACCTCCTTTCTTTCATGTACAGTACTGCCCGCATGGCATTTGAACTGGTGCGCTACAGGGCAGGAAGGAAAAAAGGTCAACAAATAGCCAGAAGACAGGATCAGAAAAAGTCCTGGAGCTGCACTGATCATTGCTAAGGATGTCCCAGGGATGGTCACCAGGGGAGAGAAAAGAGAGGATGTGAAAAGGGAGGTGGCTCTAACAGGCTGTGTTATAGCCTGAGTGTTCTGAAACAATGATCACACCTCCATTTTAACATTTTCCCCAGCCACCCTCTGTTCCTACCCTGCAGTGCTGCCTGTTATTTCTCCTTCTCACTTTCTCAGTATTTTTGTTTTGTTTTTCCTCACAGTGTCATCCACTATCTTCTTTTCCCCCTAATTCAGTATCACTGCAATCATAATGAATAAATAGATTCAGATCCACTGTCCAGCTGCACTCAGAACCTCATCAGAAACCTATCAATCACAAATATCATACACAGCTTTTCCTCTTTCCACTTAAACCACCACCACAACCGGAGTATTTATCCTGCTCTGCTTGTCGGAGGTGGTCATTCAGTTCGTCGTCATACCTGCAGGCATGGCGTGCATTGCAGATGAGCTGCAAGATCCAATTTGTTTGTGCTGAGATGACTCCAGTTCCTTTGCCACAGAACATTAGGACTGCAAATTAACATCCCTGGGCTCAGCAACTCACAGGTCTGTTTTGAGATAGCAGGCAGGCACACCAGGATAACGGCAGTTGCACAGAGAGAATTCTTTAAGACCTGAGGTACCTTGTCTTTATGAACCCTTGTTCTCACCTCCCACCATTTTCTTCCCAAACGAGTTTAGGAAGCCTCATCTTTAGTGTCTTGTTCAGAGTTAAAACATCTACTGTCACTCTGACCTCTCACAGGCAGGAACAAAAGAGAAGACAGTAAATGAGCAACAGTATGAGAGTAAAGTTTTCAGGAGCCCTAACTTTTATACAGCTGAGCCACATGATGGTGATGATTACAGGTGGTAATCATTAGCATATATGCATTAAACAGTACACACTGCTTACATCATGTTGTATAGTGTATGTTTTAGTCATTTTTATGCCTCCACTCAGTAGCCTGGGCCTGAGATGTTATACTGCATTATCAGGTTGTCCGTCCAA